ACTAGGTTATCACATCTCTTTTAGTATCTAATTTAAGAAATTGCTTATATATTATTATATAAGTTTTATATTAAATATTATATTTTTAAACTAACTATAAATCTTATTTATTTAAACTTTCTGTATATGTAATTTATTTTGTATTATAAGAACACAGTTTCTAATTCTTATTAGTATTTTTAGAATTATTTTATCTTTAACAGCTAACTTATTAAAGTTTGTCATATTTTACATATAGCTAACCTAATTTTATACAATATGTTATAATTATTTAATACTTGCTTAATTACTATATTATATTATTTTTACTTTTATAAAGTTTACTAGAACTCTAATATTCATTTTTCTGATATTTTCTTCATTATTTTTACTAATTATTATTTAAAATTAACAAATTCAAATTAGATTATCAATTTAAATAATCTAGTATAATATATTTCTGTATCTTTTTTCTTTAAAAAATCTGCTGACCTGGTTAGTTATATATTCTTTTATATATATTTTGTATTTAGTTATCTAATTAATTTTTTTAATAATGTTTTATAAACTTCAACTAGTCTGATAGTACTATCAAAAGTTCATACTATCTCTTTATTTAAGAATTTTCAAGTAGGTTTCTAACTTCTTCATTTCTTAGTCTTTTATGCTTGATGATTTTATTTTAAGTTTGTACCAAAATTTTATATAACATTAGTTATTAACATTCCTCTATATATATGTAACATTATACTTCACATAGATGCCCTAAGCTTTTAATAACAGATAGCACCAACTTAATATATAAAAATACAATTTTTATATAATAAATCATAAGAAAATACAAACTTTAAAGAACTATACTGCAAAAATTTATTAATTGAACTAATTAATAAAAATAATTTTGATCTTAATTTATACAAAAAAATTTCTTTTGAAAAAATTGTCAATTTTATTCTTTTTTATAGCTTTTAGTTCATATATTGGTAAAATTAACTGTTCTAGTATTGCCAACATAAAAAATTTTACTGGCAAATCAGATTTCAAGATTAAGGGTAACCCACACGTGATAATAAACCAATCATATTCCAAGCCCAGGCGTAACGTTACACGATCTTGAAAATTCGAAACAAACGCTCGTTTTGTCAAAAATCGGTTATTTCTCAAAAAAATAGCATATGTAACCACTTTCTGCGCATTAACAAAAAGTTTCCTTAAGTAATTTTACAATATACTACTTTAACCTTTAACCTTGATATAAGCCCTAACCCTAACGTATATGAACTTTAAAAATTTTATTGGTGTGTCACACATGATCACGTGCAGGTGAAATTTTGGTGCGATACAGGGGATAGCATATTCTCGATTTGATTGGCTAAGAGCAACGATCAAAATCCTGGCCAGAATTACTCAAAATTTTATTAATGAAATCACAGTCACTCATTAAGTGAAAATTGTTTCCGGACTAATTTTATCATTTTGCGGGCCTATTTCTTTGAAAATTTCTATTTTGACATGAAAAAATCAAAAAATTAATTTCAGTTAGAAATTAGTAAACAATTATTTAATGCGGGCCAAAATTTTACAAATCTACGGCCGTTAGCCAATCAAAATCGAGGATCTGTGGGCGGCAGCTATGGTTAATACAAAAAATCGGGCATAGCTTTTACTTATGAAACCGTCTTTTGCGCACTAACAAAAAGGGTTCTTACGAAATATTGGTACTATCGGAGGTTTTTCTAATCTAACTTGATAGCAAAACCTAACTCTAATCTAACAGTGAAAGTTTTTGGTAAAATTAATTTTACCAGCATCTCATCTCTAGTATAACCTTTTTCCAATCACACCGTCAGTATCAGTGACTTTTTTTTCTTTTACAATCACCTAAGGATGGAAACGGTTCAAAATAAACAGAGTCATGATGGAGGCAACATGACAATATCGAATTTGGCACGTGATAATAACAAGGGAAGGTGACAAAATCGAAAAATCATATTCGGAAAATCTGTGCTAGGTTAGTAATGAAACAAAAATTTTTAAAGTCCATGAATGTTAGGGTTAGAATTTTCGTATAAAGGCTAAACGGTTATTTAGTAAAATCGTACAAGGATAACTTTTGTTAGAGCACTAAATGGTGGTTTATTATGCTGATCGTGCTACGTTACACTTGATTCTCGAAAGCTGATTTGTAACCGAGCACAGATTTTCCGAATGCATTTAGCAATTCAATTTTGTCACATCTCCCTGCTATTATCACAAATTATAATTACCTAGTTTGTATATATCAACTATGCAATTACCAAAATTTTATTATAATGTGCTTATCGTTATAAAAAAGCAGTTTATTAATTGAATAATGTTTTTTGGTGCAGGGGTTAGGGTTTGGGATAGAGTGAGGAACATTTTTTATTATGTTATATAACAAGGTTAGTATAGTAAAATTGTAAAATATTGAGGCATGGCCTCACCATTAATATTTAAAATTGTAAAATATTGAGATATTGAAAGGACATACCAAAAAATAACGCTCTTATTAATTAATTCTAATGTGATTATACAGTATATTATATGATTATAAAGGTAATTATAAAGAAATAAAACTGTATATAGTCAAACCTCTAAATGATTACACCTTTAAGATACAAAATATTATAATTATAAAGTATAACTAATATAGAAATATTTTTACTAAGTCAAGGCCTAATAAAAATATGAATTTTATAAATTGTGATTATAGCCAATGTGGCTATGGTGAGGGCTAACTATATATTTATAATTAGTTATGTTTATAAAAAGAAAATTTCTATAATATGCTTGTATAAGAGCAACTATAGGAGAATTTGACTGTAATTCAGTTAACCAATACATTTAGATGCTATATAAAAGGTAATAATTAAACAAACAAGAAACTTAATTTAACTGTTTATCATATGCTGATTATTATATTAATGTAAAGATTATTTTAAAAAAAGAAACCAACTTATTATACATGATCAATATACTTACCTGCGAACCAAACGTATACAACACCACGATAATCGTGCATTGATAGTGATCGTTGGTAGATTCTATTGAAATTTTAAGCTAACGCGACTACTGATCCTTTAAATAGGTCAAATATATATATATATTTATCATCTAAATCACTCAAAATGGAGCTGTGAACTGTATGTTTTTTTTAAATAGTCCAAACAAAATAAGTCATCTCGTTTTATAAACCATAAGTGTTAATGTTAGATGATTCTTTATGTTCAGGTGTGATAATATTAATAAAAAAATAAAATATAATAAAATTATCATTTAAGGCCAACAATTATTAAACCTACTATAGTCGCACCTCCCTAAGTGCATATTGCCGGGGCCATAGTGAAAAAAATTAAAAAATTTGCACTTAGAGGGGGTTGCACTTATAGAGAATAAAATATATAGGGCTCCTATAAGTTGGGACCAAACCGTATCGTGCATTTAGAAAGGTTTTACATAGTAATTGAATTTTAGGGGTGTGCACTTAAGAGGGTGCGACCGTATAGTCAGAACTCTTAAATGAGACCTCTCAAATGCATAGTCTATGAAAACCCTTTAAATGCATGACCTTGTTTGGCCCAATTCATATGATACAGATTTTTACCTTTACAAATGCAAGATTTTTAAATTTTCATATAGGATCCTCGGCTATGCATTTAGAAAGATCTGACTAGAAATAACCCTTCTCGCCAGATGATTGCGCATTTTATGTTCATTCAGTAAAGTAAATTTTCTAAATGGTAAATTACAGATAATCGGTGGATTTATATTAGTAAATTTGTTATAATTTATCACTAAAGATTATAATTTACTAAATAACAATTTTGTCTAATTAAGCATCTTGCGATAGTTTAGGTATATGATAGGTTTTATCTCACGCAAGGCACATCTCTAGGTCCGACTGTATAATGACAAAAATGTAACTATTAACCACCTTAACAACTAAGGATCCAATAGGAATGGTAAAGTTCTTGGGTTCAGAACTGTAAAACCTTTTCGAACTTAGTTTTTAAAAAGTTCCAATAAAAGAAAAAATGTGCTTGTCGGCGATAACACAATGTAACAATCATTGTTATGTTTACTGATGCACTTTTTTTAGACACACTTTCGCGTTAGGGGAGTAGCAGATATTATGCAATATCATCGAGGGCAGAAAGATCTTACGTACCATATAATATAATATATTATATAATGCTGCTTTTTGATTGGCTAATAAATCTGACAGGTCTCTTTCTGATAAAAAAATATTACGTAATAACTGCGACTCCCTTTATTGGAATCACTGAAATCGTCGCTGTTGGTGTAACTTTATTATTTGGAGTTTTTTTTTCTTTCAGGTGGTCGGAGTCATCATTAGAACCGTGGAGTCTCTGTCATATTCTTTTTTAAGTGTGATTTTGTTGTTGGAGTCGTCATTGTTAGAAATGCGAAGCGCCATTGAAGTCGGTTTTTTTTACTCAGGCATGATTTTATAAATAAGTTTACTTACATGATCATTTTTGATTGGTCGATCGCACTACTGTGACAAGTAGATACGTATGCTCCAAATTTTATTATTAAATGTGTACTATATATTTTTATTAATCACTACATAAGGCAAAGGGAGTGGTATTAAAGTTTTATTTTATTTAAACTTTAAATATTAAAAAAAAGTATTTGTGCATAACATTTATTAATGTCAAATAATTTCATCGTTTGGGAGGTAAAGTGATGAAAATGGATAAATCGGAAGTATCTACTCGCTCTATTTGAATAAAAAATAATATTAGCATATCAAGTAAAGCTATTTACAGGATCAAAAAATATATTTTTTAAAAGTTTGAAATGAATTAAGTAACTTTTTATTAATATATTTTTATTGTTTGTGTCTTACAAAAATATTGAGAACCAGGTTTTAAATTTTGGTTCTGAACCAAATAGGTTTAACTTAGGTTTGGAACCTAAAAGGTTTTATAACCTAGACCAAACCTAAGTTAACTTTATAATCCCTAAATAAATCCTTATCCACGATGCGCAGGTGTTGCCTTCTTTTTTCCGCCAAATTTTTTTGATAGCCAAGTTAAACCATTACCGTTTCTTAATCGTTCCATTTCACTTATTGCTTTGTCAACTCCTATATTATTTGTCTTTGTTTGTATCTCCTTTATAATTTTTTTACGAGCGATCAATGTATCTTTATTTTCACCAGCCCATTTGTTCCCATAAACCTCTAATAATGTAATGATTGAAGGATTTCCGTCTAAACCAACATTCCATTCATTCCAAACATCATAGACAGTATCGAGTGTATCTAGATCCGGAAGACTATGATATTTGGGCCTTTGTATTGAGTTTTGTGGTATACTTAATGGATTATTCATTTGATTAACTAAACCGCCAATAGGATTGTCCATAGAAAGTGTAGATTCACCAAAAGAAATTGGTGAATTAATTGGTGGTACATTAGCAGAATCTATTGGACTAGGGATAGATCCATTAGAATTTATGGTCGCTGTACTTGGGGACCTTACAATCGCGCTAGTTAGTGTCGTGTCTAACAGCATATTGATAGAATTAACACCATGATGTTGTCTAATCATAGAATTATTATTGTTCATATTTTGCTCTACTTGGTTAGAAGACATCTCAGCTTGACAAGTACGATGAGCAGACATTTCCGATTGACTGTCTTGAAGAGGAGAAATAACTGACTGGTTAGAAACATGAGTAGGTATTCCGGATTGATTGTTGTGATGTGATGAAATTCCGGATTGATTATTGTGGTGAGGTGAAATTCCAGATTGACTAGTATAATGAGTCGAAATTCCGGATTGACAATTACTATGAGAAATTAAAGGTTGACTGTCGTGACGAGAAGAAATTAAAGGTTGATTATCATGATGTGGTGAAATTCCAGATTGGCTAGAATGATGAGACGAAACTCCTGATTGGATGCTAGGATTACTGTTGTGAGACGTACCAATATGAGACGGTGGCAACGGTGAAGAATTAAAAGTATTTATGGCAGAACCCTTATGAAAACTTGAAGTATGATTTGATGTAATTGGTGAATGAACAGAATTAATAGTATTATTAGACGTAATCATTGAAGGATTAACGATGTAAGGTGGGGAATCTGTTGTTGACACATTATTATATTGAGAGCCTAAAACATTCGAGTTGATGCCAGCATTTACAGCCAAATTTGATGCGACGTTATTAATTATTGATGCTATTTGAGGAGCATAAGAGGTAGCAGCCAAGTGTTGTTGTAATTGACTAGAATTTGTTGGTTCCGTAAACTGCGTCGCATTTGACGCCTGATGAATTTGTGAAACTGAATTATTAGATTCGGATGGATTAACCGTTGTAGTATTGTTAACATTCGTGTTGTTATTATTTGCAATAATTGGAGTTATTTGTGTTGGGAAACGAGTTATTTGTGGTGGCATTTCCCTGGTTTCTACTGTTACTGTAGCAGGATCTGAGGAAACTGTATTGCTTGTCACTGGAGAAATATCAGTGGTGACAGTCGTAGTAGTAGTTGAATTGTTATTAGCATCTGTATGAGTAATTGTAGTCATTTTTATAGTGATAATTGTACTTGTGGTGGTGGTAGAAGAACCGGGTTGCAAATTAGCTAACTGATCCTGTAGGTCGGAATCCTGAGAAACTCCGGGCCGTGGTGATGATGATGCATCTTGTTGTGAACCTCTTTGTGGAGGGGGATTCAACCTTGGTTCTGAAGGCATTGGTAAACGTATTTCGGGGAGTGCTATTGCGCGTACACTTATTTGCGCCGGTGATACGAGCTAAAAAAGGAATAGATCATCATCTGATATTAAACGTGACAAAAATTCACTTTTATTGGCTGATTAGGGACAGAAATCAGCTGATTTTTTAGGGGGGTGGGGTTTGTAATCATATTGCTATAATTAAATTTAATTGGCTAATATTTCAATCGAAATCAAGGCACAAAATTTCTGAATGCCGGAAGCTGCTTTTTCTCCGGCGGTGTTTATTTTAACCGGAACTTAGAAAACTCAGCCAATAAAGATATTGTAATATTTATTGATATATATATATATATATTGTAATATTTATTGATATTTATATATATTCGGAAATTTTCCGACTGATGAAAAGTCAAGGCGGAAATTGTCATGACGAAACGGAAATCTCCGGCATTTTACAGATTTATTTCAAACTATAATAGAATTGGCAGAAATCACAGGTTTAAAACAATTAGCAGCCAATCATTCTATGATCACATGATAAAAATTGTATTCAAAAAATTTCGCTTGCTTGCTTATGCTAAAGTCAAATCAAATGTAAGAGTATTGGTTTTGATTTATTTTAAAATTTCAATTCTTTAACAAAAGAATTGACTTCAAACAGTCTTATAAAAACTTTCTAACAGTTGTCTTTTTTTTGAGTTAATTTTATAAATCGCGCATGCATCATTCTATAACCCACATCAAATTTAAGATTTGTGATCATACTAGTAATGCAGGAGAATGGCCGTAACTTATCGTTATTACATATTACAGAGATAGTTACGACAAATTGCAAAAATTACTGGCAATTTACGGCAATTCGTCTGCATCGCTAGATCATACAGGTCTCACGAAAAGTATGGCTGTGATTTTTTTTTAAAAAAGAAATTGATAAATTTAGCAGGTTGCTTTAAAGGTTAGAAAAAATAAAAATAAAACTAGGTCGATTTTAACGCTTATCGGAGGTGAAATTCACCAGGTATACTGTTTCTCAAAAACGGCTTGGGTAATCGATATTGGTATATAAGAACAATTCAGTGTTGGGCAATCAGTGGTCAAGCAAAAATTTGCTGGTCAAATTGGTTAAGTTATCTATATAAATATAATATATTTATTATATAATACATTATATTCAAAAATGCTATTTGACCGATTTGACCAGTACAAATTCTTTGACCAGACCGGCCAAATGGTCAAATTGGTCTGGTCAAATGGTCAAACTAGTCTGGTCAGCCCAACACTGAAGAACAATGTTCAATGTTCCAAAAAACCCCTTGGCCTTAAATCCTAATCCTAAAGTTTAATTTTAAAATTCAGGCAAAATTTTCTATAATAAAATGTAAGAAGTTTTAATAAAAAAAAAAGCAAACAGAATAATAAATAAAACAATAAGAGAGTTTAAATATAAGAAAATAATAATGAGTTAGATTGCATATATATAAATAACATAATGATAATATCAAAGTTAAGTTACATATTACAGTTAATAAAGATGTCAAAGAGAGGAATAAACAAAAAACATCAACTAATAATATGTTTGGCAAAACAAAAAAACAATTTGCTAAAAATATTAGAAAATTGCATAATGAAACACAAAAACCTTAGCAGTTACAAAACTTTGAAATAGGAATTAATAATAAAACAATAGAAAGTCTGCTAGCAAGATTAAATAAAAAAGATAAATTAGAACAGTTAATGAAATTAAAAATAATACAAAATTACCAAAAAGCAGAATTAATAAAAAAACATAAAAACTAAACAAATTATCAGAAAGCAGATTATATTGAAAGAACAATTTGATCTATTTAATAATAGTTAAAGTAAGAGAATTAAAAATAAATATAAGTACAAAAGGCAAATTATAAATAACAAATAGTTATAGTTTTAGAATAGATAAATTATTGAAAATATAATTGTAAAAAAAAAGCAAAATCAAAATAAATAAAATAAGACTAATATACCTAAATCAGCTACTTAATATAAAAGATAAAAAGTTAGTAATTCAAAAACTATCAAAAACAATTATGTAAAAGTAAAAAAGCAGTATAATTCAAGATAATAGAGACAAAAGCACTTAATAGATCAGAAAGCAAAAAGGTTAAAGAACACTTTAAGACAGACAAATATAATATACAAGCAATAAAAATTAAATAGAAAAGTCTGTTAAAGTATAAAAGAAGAAGAGAATAAATAATATATAGTATACAAAATTCTAGGCAATTAGAGAAGATAGTTAAAAAAAAAAAAGAAGATGCTAATAAAACATTGACAAATGCAAAATATATATATATATATATTATATTAAGGCTAATATTAATAGTGAATAATATCTTTATTTGTGTTTTTAGTTAATATATTATATATTACTTGTACAAAGTGAATATACAACTAGCTATATGTATAACTTTTAATTACCTATTTAAATAGTCTGTCTAAAGGTTCTATACTAGCTGTCATACTTATAATCTACTAGAAGACTATTTAATTAAATACTCTAATCTTTATACTGTATTCAGACAATTAGCTATCTTGGTTTCTGTACATCTAAATGTTATCTAACTCAACATTATATTGTAATAGAATTTTTTTTTATATTAGTATATATTTATTTTTAGCTCTATATTATATTTTATATTTTTCTTAATATTTTTACATAGTTTATAGATTATTTTATTTGTTTTAATTACCTATTTAATAGGTTAATATTTATTTTATTAGTAGATTTCTTATAGTATTTTATTTTAATTAATAATTGTTAGAATATCTAAAAATACAGTTGTTTAGTATTACAAAGCCTTTGATTAAAGGCCCCAGATTATGCCTCAAGTGCCCCAGAACACTCTAAAATAATAGAACAATTAATTTAAGTATAGTTAATTAATATTTATTAATTATAATGCAATATTTACTATAGTGTTACTATATAGTTTCTATATACTAATATAGTTTTTTTTAGTTGTGTTTAGGACAACATCTGTATGAAAGCTTCTAAATACTAAATAATCATAGAGAATTTTGTAGATAAACATATAAGCTACACAATAATATTTGTTTTATTTTTAGTTAATATGTAAGTTATTGCACAATAAAGCATTAAGTATTAGTAAAAATAAAAAAATACAGGATTGGTTTATTATTTGTACACAAGCATTATTGGTAAAATTCACATGGAATTTCTTAATTTTTGCTACATTTTGAATGTCCATATAGTTCAGAATGATGCTACAACACATAGTAGCTCTAAAACTAATCAATTATTAAATTAAAAGTTATAAAAAGGATAGCTTTTTGCTCTTCTAAAAGAACAGTTCTTAGAAGTTCTGCTTTTATATATATAAAAAGCTTCTTGTAATAATTATTTAGCCAACAACTCTTTAATAAAATAACCTTTAATTACTATTATTTAAATATTATTTATAAAACTATTCTTTATTTTATTTTTTATTTTATTTTTTTCTATATTTTTTTTTATTTTTTTTATTTTTCTTTTTTGTTTCTTATAATAATATAAAAAAAAAGCTAGTTTTCTTAATTAGTTATTTGGCAAATACTAGCTTTATATTATTTATTTTATTATTTTTTTTCTTGTAATAATTTAAAGTGAATAGCTGGTTTTCTTAATTAGTTATTTGGCAAATACTCTTTATATTATTGAAATTTAAAGACTGTATATAGCTATAAACAGTCTAATTATTAAGGCTTTTCTTTCTCTGATTATATTCTACAAATATTTCTAAGTTTTAAAGTTTAATAATTCTTGTACAGAGTAAACATTTTGTTATGCCTAATCTGCACAGACTGGACAGTAGAATTAGTTTAAAGTTAGTTTTATTGTTGTACCTTATAGTGCCTAGAAGGCTATTGAATTTAAATTCTATTTTTAAATATTTATTTCTTATTTTTGTTTATTTTTATTTATTTTATTTTCCTTTAAATAAAAGATCTTCTACTTGGCACTTGTGTTATTAAAAATTACTACAGCTTGTTAGTTTTTAGTAAATTTTATTACAATATTTCTTTTTCTGTATATCTGTTAAACTATTATCTAATTTCAGAGTATATCACCTAACTGTAAGACTCAGAAAGCCTTTTTGTTAACTAATCTATCTATTCTATGAACTATTAACAAAGCTTGCTTTTGCAAAGTTTATCCAGATTCTAGTGTTTACTTTACAATATATTCCTAGTACTTTTAATATACTTTTGTCTTTTTTTTAAACTTTAAATTCAGATAACTTAATAGAACTATAACCAGTCCATTAGTATATTAAGTTGACCTGATATTCATTTTTTTCTAATTTTCCCAATTAGAATTTTGGTAGCCTGATTGGTGATATTCTTTATCTAGAGGTTTTTGCTTATTTAGATACTTTACATTGATATATGTTTCCTAGGTCTAGCCTTTACAATAGTATTGTTAAAAATCTGTATTATCTCTTTATTTAGATCTTTTCAAATAAGCTTCTTGCTTTCTAATTTCTACAGATTTACATAGTCACAAGAACTTATTTTGGATTTGCTGCCTGATACTAGTTTGCATTTCTCAGTATAACTAGTTATACAGATTCCTTATAACCTGACAGTCATGTTAATGTAATTATAATTACAGATATCTTAACCTAATCATTAGAATTAGTTTTCAAATATAAGTATTATATAGGTAATTATTCAAATTTTTTTGGCATCAATAATTTTTAAACTCATAACCTATTACTTAGAAAGTTAACAACTTATTTATTTTACTAAGTCATTATACCTTTACAAATGCAAATTATAAAAAATAATTTAGTAACTAAAATTAGCAAATATAATAAATGTATAAGAAAAAAAAAATAATAAAAAAAAGTTATTAATATTGGATAAGAATCAATAACAAAATAAATATAATTCCAAAAATGCTAATAGAAAAAAGTAGTAATATAATTAAAATAACTATAGACTAATTAATAGAAAACACAAAAACAAAAAAAAAATTA